AGAGGAAGGACAGCTGATGAAGTAAACGCATCATTAAAGAGATCTTACATTTGGATATAACAAAATTGAAACTGAAAACTTATGAGAATTGTATCATCTGACCAATCTGATAATATGATCTGATAATAAGCCTTTTGCTCCGTGTTGGTAATGGTCAGTCACTGACTAGAAATGGTAAAATTGTTCTGTCAGAGCTTTGTTTTTTGATGTCTAATTTTCTGGACCTAATTGAAAATGTTTACCCAGATTTACCTAACATTTCGACTTAAACGTCAATTTGATTTCAAGAAAGGGAAATATTTTCATTAACTAACGATCAAGTCAATAAAATAAATTACATAATACTGTTAAAATTCAATGCACCAACAAAAGTTTACTATTCCGTTGACACTGTTTTAGATAGGTAAAGTGAAGGCGATACATCATCCAACTGAATTTTTAAATTCTTTATCTCCTTCAGGGAATCCACTACAAAAATTAATACTAAAAAATGAATTCTCCTATAATTTTACTTCGAAACTTAAGTCCACCAAAATCATTTATGCAACAGTACAAGATTACAAATAAAATCTTTAAAAAACTGTCAGCTTGAGTGTATAATCCTTACTGGCTGTAGAAACGGTCTTGGTTCCTAGAATACCTATGACAGCACCAATTTTCCATTCCAGTTTAGACGGCTCCAATTTCCCCGTCAAATTAAGCTTTACAACGACTATTAATAAGGCACAGTATCAAACAATAAATATTGCAGATTTAGATATAACCGTCCAGTGTTTTTCCCATGGTCAATTGCACGTAGCTCTGTCACGTGTAACATACAAATAAAATCTACTAATTAATCAATATCTACCAGAAGGTGAGAAACTTAACGTGGTGTATTCAGAAATATTTAATGCTTAAGACAAATTTAAATAATTGACAAAAACATAAAAATCATCATAACAAAAAAAATAATATATTCCACACTTATAAATTATACTAAAAAAATTAATCTAATTAAATATCTGATATAAATATATAATTCATATCCAACTTAATATATATGTCTAAACATACATAAATGTTCTGAAATCTAGCAATAAGCAAGGCATTGCCGGGTCAGCGAGTTGTATTATATTGATATAAATGTATAACAATATTAAATTTAAGAATATTCAACAATAAAATATTTTATGTTTGCTGGTTGAAATTAAATCAACGAGTATTTTGTTGGCGGACTTACATAGAAACCGGCAATAAAGAATGTACACAAAACAAATAATATATTTGACATCGATCACTTTAAAATAAATTATTGAACAGTCGTGTAACTGCTTTCGACATTTTTTCTACAATTTATTATAACATTCGTATTACAATGTTGTACCGCATTTCGAAATGGAAAATGAACGGCCAAGACCCCCAGTCTTCCAAGAAGCGATTGAATTCACTGTCTACTTTCCGGAATTATGGAAAACGATCTGCTGCCGTGGTCAAGGCCGTACCGATCTTGGGCCAAAGAGAAGTAGCGTTTCGCCACTTCACTGAGATAAAAACGATGGAACGAAAGAAGAGCATATTGGGAAACCGCCCAAAAACTTAAGATAAAAACGCTTTTTTAGAATTTTTAAGTGTGCCTATCAATAAATCAACTGTCGTCGTAGAGCTTAAATGTAAGTCGACTGGAGTCGCCGCGTCGCGGAAATGTCCATCTCCGAGTGAGTCGTTAGTTGGCAGTAGCGGCAGTGGCGTCTTCGATATGCCAATACTGACGAAAGAAATGGAGAATCGACATCAAGAACCGAGTGCAAAGACACCGTCGAACGGTTACCAGCCAGTGACTTAAACGATTGATATGGACCACGATCCGATAGTGATAGATGGTGGCAAAATACGGACTAACTTAAAGCACTTGTTAAAAAGGTACTTATGGTGTACAATAGTTTTACGGCTTATTAATAAGACACTAACAGTATTATAAGGTGTCTAATACTTATCAAATTATGATCATTTTATCACGGACCGAGCAATATTATATAATGACTTTATAATTTAATTGTTTTATAAATTCAATATTGCAATATGATTAGGTGAATCTCATTGACCTCCTTGTGGCAATATTCAACGATTTTACATTAGACGATAAACGAAAAATCAAAGAATGCGAAATGGAAAATTTTGTTAGTACCACCAAGTCCAACTATAATAATACACAACTGAAACTATATTTTATACACCTATTTTTTCAATGTATAATATACGAATCGGCATATCACTGTTATGATTAAAATATCAATTTAAATAAATATTAAATTTAATATTAATTTAATATAAATTCGTATATTACACATTTAAAAAATAGGTATATAAAATATAGCTTCAGTTGTGTATTATTATTGTTGGTACTCACAAAATGTTCCATTTCGGATTCTTTGATTTTTTGTTTATCTTTTAATGTCAAATCGTTGAACATTGCCACAAAAAGGTCAATGTGATTTACCTAATCATATATTGCTATATTGAATTTAGTTTTACGTTACAGAAATATACTATTAGTAATTTTTATTTTGTCTAAATCGTCGGTATGTTAGTTGTTCTTAAAATTATAAAACAATTAAATTATAAAGTCATTATATTATATTGCTCGGTCCGTGATAAAATGATCATAATTTCGTAAGTATTAGACACCTTATAATACTGTTGGTGTCTTATTAATAAGCCGTAAGACCAAAAGTATCACCACAAGTATCTTTTTAACAATTGTAGGTACTATCGGAAATTGGTTTTTCTCATTTTAATATTAAAAAAAACATATACCAATCGTGAAAGCAGTACATAGTATATATAATATTATATTCGTATAATTATAAATAAATAAGTTATAGGTTTATTATAATATATCTAGGTAACTAATTATGGTATTGTCATTTTTTGATAAAATTACATATTTACATCATCACATGCAATTAAAGTGTGTAGTATATATTATAAATTTATAGCATAATGCAAAGAATATCGCCTCTGTAATAGTTATAATGTATTTATAAATATTATGCAGAGTCGTAAAATTATTATACATATAAATGGTTGTATTAATAAATACTCGAATAAATACAACTTGTTAACATAATATTATAAATTATAATAATTATATAATAATGAAGGTCATCGTCCACAACTGTATTAATACTGTCTAGCTATCTATTTGTCACTCCATTGCTTTTTTTTTTATTTACAAAACTATCACACGTACTTGAACATTTCATATAATAATAGACATTTTTATTTTTTATTTCCTATTCTCATTAGTAAATTAGGTATAATATATTTTTTTTAATTTAGTCTGATAAAATAAATTTAATAAATGTTTGAAGTAGCCACCTATTAGACTACCTAATTATAGTGATAGTCTATATCTAAATATATATATATCTAAAATAAATGCATCTACGTTTTCGGTACTCCTAACAGTTCTACCATTTAAAACTATTAACATAAACCTATGAACAAATGAACATACATAAACAAGTAAACAAGTTACAGTAAACAATTTAAAAATCGAAAACTTTATTTTCCATCTCTTATGAAAAAAATGATTAATTTAACCCGTCAATAACACTAATTAACGTATACTCCCATACACTTTTGGTATTTAAACCATTACTGAGCTCCAAAGATTAAAATCTGTACAGCTTGACGCAACAAGTGGAACCAATTTTTAAATGTAAAAAAAAGGATGTGGTATAATAATACCTATTGTTTTGGGTCCATGAAATATAACCTACGGACTACGATAGTAACAACGATTTGAGTTTCGAGAAATTGTAACTAAATAGTACGGATCGTAAACAATTCAGAAAATCGGTTTCCTGTGCCAATCATGATTTGAATGAAAACAATTGATGCAGATGTTAGCCTACTAAAAATTATTGACAATTTTTCGAATATCCAATGCTCGATCACGAATGGATTAACATTGATGTCAACAGCAATGAACAGCTAGTGAGGCTTGAATAGATTTATAACATACATTTAGCCATATTTTATTCATAATAGCCTAAATATATTTTTTTTTTTTGCTTTTATATATATATATAAATGCAACTAATATATTGTCAAAAATATATTCTAAATTTTACATATTCCAAAAAATATATGTTTGGCAATTGTCGTTTTTCGCATTAAAAAAGCCACATCATTATGCGTGGTATTTTTGTTTTTATCAATACACACTTTATAAATATATATTAAATATTTAGTATAACATACCACCCTGTCATTATTTTATATTGTATATTGTATAACGTATATCGTATATTCGTATAATATGATATGCTTAAATCGGTCAAATCTATGATAACTTATAATAAGTCGAATAATGTGGGCAGGATTATTATGTATGTGTATTCAAGGTCAGCATAATCGTACTGAAGGAATGCATTTTGCAAAATGATTCAATCTGATCATATCGTGCTGATAAATGACATGCAAATTATTAATAACACTACATAATATATTACTATACATAAAATATTGCACATTAGTTTTAAAGAGTGTCTTATAGTTATACTACAATTTATAATACTCCATTACAATATTGTATAGGAACGGACGTGGATGTAACTTTAAAATCTAAATAAGTAATTTTTGGAACTATTCCCAGTTATTACTCTCCAGTTAAAAAACAAGAAAAATAGTGAATAAAATACGAAAGGATTTGTAAAAACTATTTTACAAGCGACAACCATTTTTTAACAAATCCACTTTGGTTTTCTTTATTTTAATCAAAAAATATAATATCCATATGGTTGTACTTGTAATATTACCTATAGTCGTAATGTTTTCTAAAAACATTCACTCGCCGGCGCAATCGTGTGCATTTAATCTGCTGCAGTGCTATATTTTTAATCATAGACCTTATGCTTAACCTAACCATAGGTTTAATATTGGTAAAAAAAAAAAACGTCGAGTCAACTCACGACATCCTAAATAAGATGCGGACATGGACCGACGCGACGTACCTGTGTTTTGACCGTCCACGGCGAGCGCCAAAATGACAGCCGCCAAGACAGCGGACACCGCTAGTCCGGGACTCTGCCGCCGCCGCGGCCGCCGCCCGTCCGGCTCGCGGGACATTTTCGACTTCGTCGCACTTTCGAGGGTTATCCGTCGCCCGCTGCTGCTGCCGGCACCACCGCGTCCGGCAAAGAGTATTTATTATTATTATCAAAACGGTACACGGGATACGAACGATGAGCGTGTTATTCACTATTAACGACGAAATAATATTAGGATATCACGCAATCTGTATTGAGAAAAAAAATTATTTTGTCGTTTCGGACACGGTAATATTATCGTACGCGTAAGCGGGCTTACAACTGTTTGCGCGGTCACACGTACACGATCACATGGCGTTCGTTTCGCGACCGATTTGACCACGTTCACTGCGCGCGACGGCGTGCAAACCACAACTGACGGCGGACAGAACCATGGTCGTCGTCGTCGCGGCTCTGCCGGCACGGTCTCGCAGCCACCACCACCGCCGCCGCCGCCACCGGCTCGTGACCGGTCTTCGACGGACATCGATGACGACGATCACCGCCACGGGCCAGCCACCAAGCCACAAGGGATTCGCCCCACGAACGATTGAAAACAAATTGGTGAACTTGCATGGGACAAATTTTCCTTTTGCTCTCAACAATATTCTATAACATATTATCCGATTCATCCGTCGGTAACGGGACCGCTGAATGAATTTCGCAGATTGTCGCATGTGTGCGCTAAAATACGATCTCTTTTCTAAAAGGTATGCTGCAGAGTTGAATAAATTATATGCGCGGCAGTGGCGCTTAACTACTCATTATTTGCAAATTGCAATAATTTTACTTTTGCCTCTGCGATTTTTGACTATTTGATGGTGTTCCCGAAATTCCAGTGTAAGACAACAACTATTGACACAGAAATCATGACATCGACAGTTGTTAAATCCCACAGCCATTTATACAGAAAATCATCACACACACAATACATTATGAGTTAATCGACTAGTAATAAATTGGAACGTTTGAAAATTGAGCATATCATTTAGATATATTTTCTAGCCTAATATATGTAAGTACTTACTTACAGAAAATATTATTTATTGGTAGAGTAAAATACTAAAATGTAAATGTTTATTTATTTATATTTTAGACAAATTTGCGTCGTTTAAAATAATAGGTATACCTACTTAAGTTACTTAACCTATTTAATTTAAATCAACCGTGCGATAACTGCAGCGGGCTGTCAAGTAAAACTTAATCTTGAAAATGTGTATACACCCAAAAAAAATCAGTATTAAAGTAGTAAAACGTGTTCTTGTATAAAAAACATTCATCATCAGCTACATTACATCTATTACATGATTGCAATATTATATCCGTACTGTAACTATAGTATAGTAGCTAAAGGTTGTAAAAACGTTTAATTTTTATAGACACACCGTTCGGACAACTCTGTGTCTGTAATAATGCGTATAGTTTGATATAGTTAATTCAATTAATCCACGGATATGGTCGGCGATTATTTTATACTATCTCTGCCGGTCTGCAGCCTGATTCGCATTAGATCAACGATTAGGTAACGAATGTCCGGTGTTTGCACAAAAACGTATACAGAGCCCTTACAATTATTACGATTTACGACTGCTGAGCGTACCTACACGCCATGCATGACTGTATAGTCCGATCTTGGGCTGATAATTAAATATATATAGTTTTGTCGCAATCGTCTCTGGTATGTGTATGATATAACCCAAGATTAAGGACTTGCTTTTCCGCTTTCCTGCTTGTCGCATATTATAATATAAGGGACGGCTTTGTGAGAAACGTGTAGAGTCGGTTTTTAAAAATTTGATATCACGCTCTAGTTTTTTAGATAAATTTTCGTCGGATCGACTGGTGGCACTGTGATTTCGGCTTCCTCCATAAACGATATTTATTAAGAACGAGCTCAATTTAAAAATATAATATTTGCGACTAATAGACTAATCTATACCATCTAATACACTACTTACACTAGTAGATCTATTTACTATTTAGTCATGAATCATGATATATAATATTTATTATTCCAGTATATTTTAAACCGCCAGAATGAGATAACCAACTGCCAAATAAATGTAGTAACTTCTTATATGTACGACGGTCCTCGAAGCTTCAAAAATTGTATGTACATATAGTGTAATACTCGGTACGACTTAAAAGTTACAATAAATAAAAACCATCATATGAATACGGCAAGTCGCAACTATATTTTTGTCATGTCTGCGCCAAAAGCTTAGATTTCAATACTGTTGAGGCGTTGGAAGTGGGCGGTAAAATGGAAATCCTAAAAAGTGAAAATTCTCAAAAAGTGCTGGGCGTATCCCCTACACAGCCAGAAATCTATATACTGAAATCTATATTACGGTCCTTACATAAAACATACACTTTTGATTACATCTGATATTCATATTATAACCTCATTGCTTGACGTTTAAACATTTTTCATTCATGAAATTGTTTTTCGTAAAATCGTCTAGTATTTGCATGGATCCCTGCAATCTGCATCATCTTTGTCGTGATCGATGAACGCAGAGACATGCCAAAAAAAGTATATGACGTGGCTCGTGCGGAAAGGCTATTTCATTTATTATATATTTATATATTAAATTAAAATGTAATTTATAAACTTTATGAACATAGAATAAACTCCATACCTACCTAGGACATTTGATTCGTGCCTTACCTATTATTATTTACGCGTCCATTGCACGCGAACTTATTCCTCCGACAAACTAAAAAATTGGACCGGAAATGGGTGACGATGGCGGAATATTGAAGACTGATGAGTGATGAGGTTCGAAAATATTACACCATATTATTTACAAGATGAAACCCCTTACAAATGTATACGCTAAATAATGTATACAAGTATAAACGTTTGAAAAAAATTATCAAAATTATATGGATTGTTTTATATACTCGGAGTTTACTCAGTTTTAATGTATTTCATTAAGGCCCTCTATATAGTCATACCTTTCAATTGAATATCTACTCTATACTTTATATATAAATAATTACTTTCTCCAAATTGGTAATATTATTATTTATAATAATAATAGGCCAAATCTTGAGATTTACTTCCCTCCCTCGTTGAAAAAATCTAAATACGCTTAGCACGTCCGTTGCTTAGGTAGGCCTTACATTATTTGCTTTGATCATTCAACTTTGAGGGACTAGCTTGGACATGTTTAATGAAACAAAATTGCCTATTATAGGTACCTACATAAAATGTGTCAAGCATATAATATTATCAAAAAATTTGAAACCCAATGCGATTATTCGATTGCACATTTGTACATAACTATATTAACCATCGACCAGTGACTGAGTGACCGCGCATAAGTATATAAATATTAGAGCATTTCGTTTTTACAGCGTATACGTAAATCAAAAAGGAAAATAGCAATCATGAATCAGAATGATTATCATCTTGGTACATATCAAAAAGGAAAATAGCAATAATGGTTTATATAAATATAACATAATATAAACTTACGGCCGAATCGTAATATCTAATAAGAATGACACGCAAAATCACGATTTATTTATTTATCGTGATACGTGCTTTACTTTATTCGAACAATATTATTGACTGCCGTAGTTGCGATACGTCTACATAATACATATTAAATGTATAATATATTGTACATAAAAGTAGTAAATATATTTGAATTCAAATGCATGACTTCACGATTCTTTGTACAAAAATAGTCTTAACATGTTAAACTCATTTACAGGCCGATAAGAATCTGCTCCAATGACTTGGTAGATCATTTATCGCGGTTATATATTATGACGTAACTTCTAATGAAACTATACATTTAAAAAATCAATGTGCAGAAAATTGCAAATGATTATGAAAAATAAATAAATCAATAAAAACATTTTTTGTAAAATTATCCGTCCATATATACGTATTGCTCAATACGATGATAATATGTAGGTATTTATATGTATAAATAAGTATGAATAAATGTATGCAGATTAATTATATACGACTTTTAGACTCTTAGCCATAGTCAATGGACAGCACTCAGTGCTCGAAGTAGAAATTATTAAGTACTGAGGAACTCAATCCAAAAATTTAAAGACTGAGTTCAAAGTGCAAAATTATTTAACACATACAAGTGGGGGGATTTACCTCTGGGCAAACATTTGGTTGTCGAATACTACATTTTAGCTTAGTTATACCATTTTAGCTTTATTAAATGCCAAATATAATATTTATATGTAACTATGAAACATATAAGAACATATAAGTGAATTTGGATTTATATTCACCTTATTTTTATTTTTCAACATTTTTCCCAATTACTTTCATACATTCAGTTACTTATTACAAATGAAATTTTTTGATATTGTTATAATTCCCATTTTCCTCCCTACCATGTTTCAATAGAAAATAAAAAAATACACATAATTATCAGTGATAATATCTTAATTTGTGATAATTTGATTCAGGCGGGCATATTTTAATTGTCAACACTAGTCCACAGACACTCGTATTTGATAATACATCATATCTGTGCACTATAGGTACTACACTAGGCAAAGAATAAACATGATACAATATTAACAATCTATAATAAAAATAGCATTCGCAAAAAGTATTCAGTTCTCTAATGTTTAGAAAAAATAGAAAAATATTTTTGATATAAAAAAATTTTAAATTCCATAATAAGTGTATCATTGACAACAATTTAAATCCACTCCACATTTTAGAAAAAATTATTTCGGACATTTTTTTGTGCCACCCCTCCCTCCACCCAAGTAAAAAAAAATAGTTGGGATATGCAAAAAAAATAAAACTAATAGAGAAACTCAGTTTCCACCCCTCGCCCCCACCCCAAATTTGAGCATTGCACCAAGATTACTTCAAAGTTATTGCTAATTTAATATACTAATTAGTAATTGCTAACATAAACTATTAGTACATACTTAGCTAAGCCAGCTACTTCATTGGGCTTTGTTAATATGATTTTAATCTTTTCAATAGTTCTAACTATATAAGTTTGTTTTATAATAATACCCTAGGTAGTTATATACTAATATTAATTAATTATAATGATTGTATACTTTTAAGACTTCGGAAAGAAGAAGTTTATTGTACATTAAAACATACTACATATAACACTATAACATAAAATATTTCACTAAATATATAAATTAATAAATACTCCTTACTTTCCGTTAAATTATGAAAAATAACTGTACTTATTTCAGGCTTCAATAGATACCAAAATATTTTTAAGCACATAAAAAAGTTAAAAGAGAACATCTATTTGTAAATCACGACAACCGTAAAATACCTATAGACTCATTTGAATATCGAATATATATTAAGTCAATTTATTCGATTATATACCTAATATATATATTCAAAATAAAATGTTCACAAATATTACAGAAACGTACATTTTGATACTTTGTTTTTAATTTTCGTTTAGGTTTATAATTAATAATAATTAATTTGCATGAAATATTTTATATTCTTTAGGATAAAAAAACCTCGTGAATATAATATGTGAAATTAGTTACACATGTTACGTGGTTATGGCGTTTTTTCACGGTTTAAAAAGTATCACGGTAATTTATTTTAGGTAGGTAGCCTATCTATACTAGAAAATTAAAAAAATGTATAAAACAGGTATCTATTGGAACTTATAATACGTTTTAATTTTTTTCTGCTTTATTTTTTAATGGAATTGTAAAGAAGGACATTCAGTGACGAATATATAAGAAGGCAATGTAGATATTAATTAATAAATTTTTCATTCTTTGGCAAATAAATTCTTTATTGCACCTACGGCTACCTATATATTATATTAGATATTACACTTATCCAGTTATCCCTATCAAGTATGAAAAGTGATCGTAAAACTACTTTATGTTTCATTTTAAATACTTATATCTGCGTGAGTTCGTGTTTAGGAAGGTTCTCAGGATTAATTATAATTTTAAAATGTATGGTATATTATATAATTTATTAGTATATACCTAGTCGTTTTTGAATTTATAGTGAATATAAACTATAAAGATAATAGTTATTAACTTAATAGAAATCTTAAGTACAATCATTTTGTTCCTATAATATGAGGTACCTATACTCGGCCTCGATTTCCAGTTTAAAATTATTAAAAATGTAACGGTAATAATGTACCTAATAACACTAATATAGTAATGTACCTACTACCCAATAATATCATGTATTATGTGTCTATAGGCGGCTAGGCCCTTGAATGAACGCCATACGGCCTATACCAGCGTTTCCCAAAACATGGGTAGCAAAATTTTCTTATGGGTCGCGACTCAAGTTTATGATTACGGTTATTTTAGCCATAAATTGATACCTCTATAATGTATAATAATAATAATGCAAGTCCAACTAGAATTGAAGAATGTATGAAGTCAATTTTATATTAGATATCAATATATTTTTAGTAATCTTTATATTATTTTATTTGGATTGTGGAATATTTATTATCTTATCGGTGAGAATGATAAAATTGATGATAGTAAAAATATTATTTAGTTATGGCTTACCTACTTGATTTTTTTTTTTGGCAAGGGTTCGCGTACCCAATAAAGATTAAATTTATGGGTCGCTGTTGCAAAAAGTTTGGGAAACACTGGCCTACACAATTTATACATAAATACATAATATCATAATATTAAAGTTTATAAATTAAATCGATGATATTATTCTTTGGGTTTTTGTGGACAAGTATTTTTCTATAAATTCTCAAGTATCAGTAAAAAAAGAAAGTTTATCATTTAAATTAGATTTATTTTCATTTTTCAGACATTAGTATTTTTATCTAACTATGTATACTATAGTATTCTTAACAATTATTATAACGAACGACTGTTATTTCGTACGTACTCAATTAGATAAAAAAAACTAAGGAAATGATAATAACCAAAGTATAAATATTATACATATATTATATAAATTACAACACATATTCAGGATTCTTATGATTTTTAAATTCTTTCATAAGGTATATAAAATTGGTATACAGATTTTATAGAATTAATTAAGTATGTAAATTGAAATAAAATAAAAATTATTTTTTAATTGTATTTCAGTTTATGGCAGATTTACCATGTTCAAAACGTTATATAAAAAATAATGAGAACCGATATAGGTACCTAACTTTTTTATTCACCTATTATACTAGGTATTTTTAATGCGAGAATTGGCAGCGATTCGCTGTCACATGAGAACTTGTTACGTGATGAATGAAGATTTAAATAAGTATCTAGGTAAATAAACACTTACCTAACGCGGTATAATTTATAAATACTAGTACTTCACAGTCCAAGCTTATTTAGAAATTGTATTATAATATACATGTAGATTATATTAAATAGATTCATCAATATGGCAATATCGAATATCAATCGTGTGGATAAATTAATAATAATAACATAAGAATGAAGACTTCAAAGGAAGCATATTATCAAATATTTATACATATTTATGATCGATTTAATTAGATGATTGAGTTAGAATTTTGACTAAATTCATCAAAACCTCAAAAATTTGCAAATTATTTTTTAGTTAGAAATACAAAAAAAATGTTCAAAACCAACAGCGCAGAGTAGCTAGGGAAGCTTAAAGACTTAAACGTTTATGCCCCTCCCCCCTTGCAATATCAAACTTACTATTCCATATAGTACTCTAGGTCCCTAGCACTACCAATAAAAATTGTAGTCCCCCCCAACGAAAAAAACTACTGGCTATGGCACTAATAGCGTATATTTGAAAATATAATGGAAAATTTTCTATTATTTTTTCTATACCTTTAACAACAACAATAAATGTTTACCGGAAAATAGCATTAATTTTTTTATGGGCATTTGAATTTAACATTTTTACGATATTGAAAATTCATTGGTAATTAAACAACTTAATCAATTGGTGATATTTTGTTGTAATTCAAAATCGAGTAACAAAATAAATATCCATAGACACTTGAAATTTTCACCAAATGTTATTTTAGCATTTTCAAAATATTCTGACTATTTTTGAAATATTTATAGCCATGTTTTTTTTTAAATTATTAAATTAGAATATTTATTCCCGTATATGCTATTCTGGTACACTGTATTAAAATCGTTTTTTTGCATTACAATGATATCCTGATAAATTCAAATTTAAAAATCTATTGGGTACAATGACATATTCAACAACTACTGCAAGTGCAGCAGAGCACTGAGCAGTAATCACTCGTACACCTTTTTGTTTATAGCATAATATGGCTTATTGATTTTGTGTAATCATTTTTGGTAAAGTAAAGTTGTTGTATATTTATTTTATAAGTAAAGTTTACGAATTTCTATAAAAAATAAAAATGAACAGTCGAACAGATGAAAACAGATATTGATGTATAACTCTATAGAATCCTTGTCTTCCTTTAAATTATAAATATTGGGGCGGTAGCGTATCGTGTTTTTAGGAGTAATATATAGGCAATTCATATGGCATGTACATATTATGCGTTATATCTTGGGCAGAGGACTTGTAGCTCTAAAAATAACAATAAAAAATAAAAAAATAACTCTACAAAATATGCACTAAAATGTACAAAATATGCATTTAAAAATTATTATGCGTATAATAATAAATTTAAATATGAATATTTTTTTAGTAAAAAATAAGATTATTTGTATAAATATATTTAATTTACATTTTGATATCTGCAACTGACGGCGACGTCCCCGTGGCTCTAATCGATAATATTTTATGCAGTGAACAATATCTGTCTATAAATAAAATTAATTCCACTAACAATCACATTTTTTCCAAATGTATTACTGAACTTTCCTCAGTAATTAATCCATTAATTTCGCTCCTTACAGCCGTATTACACAATCAATCCATTCCAGATTTCATTTCTTCCTTTTCTCATTAGCCTAATTACCAATTATGTCATATTCACCCATAACTTTCCTATTTATTTCAATTTCACTATTATGCATTTAATATTGAGCACTTTATTATAATCGTTGAGCTGTAAGTTTTATACTCGAAGCTAATAAAAAAAAATTCGGTTAATAACCAGAAAATAAATCTCTCGAGACGTGTTTCTAGGAAAATCATGCTTTTGGGAACAATCAATAACCATATTAATATGATCAAAATTTCAAATAATTTTAAATTCAACATTATTTCGGTTGTATATTAAATATTTGATAGAATAATGAAAGAAAAATGTCGACAGTAAAAATATTGATAAAATTATTAATTATTTAAAGTATGCATCTAAAAGTATAAAAGTATAATCGAAGAAATATGCACTAAAAAAAAAAAAAACTCGAAGTCTCCATTTATATGCAAAATAAAATTTCAAACCTAGCTTTGTTCCTGCATGAAACGTATTTGCTTCTAACTATTTTTGTGATTGTGTAAAACAAATATGCAAATGCTACAAGTCCTCTGCCCTAGTCATATCAATATGTGAGTAGTAAATGAACATTAGATGAAGACCTTAGAATACAGTGATTATTAAATTCAAATTTAACACACAATTACAGTGACTCAAGACACCTAATGTGCGACAGATCGCTACCCATTAACTCGATTTTTTTATTCATATTACAAAATTTGGATTCTTCTTAGATTTAAATTAATTCTTGGCTTTGAACGTGATAGTTCTATAGGCTTTTATACACCATCAATCAGATTTTGGCTTCTGCTGCAACCGTCCGATACTTTCTGCTCTTGTAACTTCCTGGTTGCACCTGGAACAGAAGGATGCGCCATCCAATTCTTGTTATACATTTACGATATGCATATAATACATCATATTGTATTATTGTGAGATATTATGATAGATATTTCACAAATCTTTTATTTTTTTAACAAAATATATCTGAAAAGGCAGTGTTATTACTTTTATTACTTTTCATATAACATAGGTATACTATAGATATGCATATATATTATATACATGTTTATTTTTTTTTAATTCAATAAATTACATTATATTACTTTGGTAAACTCTCGGAGAGCTAGTAAATAAATAAAAGATAATATTGTGACTTTAATTTTGGGAGTGTGACCATATTGGACCTTAGATATTATGAACTAACCAAAGATCTATTTCTATGGAACTATTGGAACTAACATAACATAAAAATATTTTATCACGATGGTACCAATGTAATAAAAAGTAAAGTGGCATCGTGATTTGTGAGGACTGGAACCGATTAAGATAACAGGGAGATATCATCAAAAACAAATTTCGGAAGTTTCAAAAAGACGCTCATATTTTATGATTTATATTGGTTCTGAGTTATAGAATGCCGGTTGTGCAAAATGAAATTTAAAACTGTAGCAGCTCTACTAGACGGTGTGCACACGGATTTTGTGGTGTCGGTTTTCGAGTAATATTTGATTCATAATGAGCATTTGTTGATAAAACTTAATATCTATTTTTAAGTTTTGTTGCATTTTACAGGGACACTACTTTTATTGCGGTAACTCAAAACTCAAAACTAGGGACATTGTATCTGGTCAAGCCAGATAGTTGTGCATTGCAAGAGCAGGGATACGACATTAAGTTAGACCTTAATTTTTTAAATTTAACATTAATGATTAATCATGAATTGTTTTTTTTCTTACCCTAGAGTACTTTTTGGCAGAGAAGACGATAACCAAACTTCGAGTATTGTTAGTTTAATTCGAGCATTAAAAGTTGACAGCAGAACTATTATTTCTCTCATGATTGAAAGCACTAACTTCAGAACTTTAAGAGCTGTGCAACAGGTCTTATCCACACTGATTTAAAAAGTTAACTTACCAAACAACATGCCTTTATATGGTCAAGTCATCATTGGTCCACCCGGTAGTGGAAAAACTACTTATTGTGATGAAATGAGCAAGTACTTGCAAGAAATGGGCAGACGAGTGGCTATAATCAATTTGGGTAACTTATCTATGCTTACTAAATAATTATTAACTTATAGTTGTACAAATGTAATTTGAGGCATTATTTTCAAAATGGTAAATTTAAGTTTGTTATACTCTTGCTATTTTTATTTTGTAACAAAATAAAGTTTTTACTTGTATGTAGACATGTAGTAAAATACTATTATTTAATGCATTTATAGAAACCAACAGTAAACAAATGCCTTTTAATTGTTTGTGTTATTAGACCCAGGCAATGATTCATTGTGTTACAAAGCAGCAATCGATATATCAGAACTTGTTACGGTTGAAGATGTTATGGATTATGTAAATTTAGGACCCAATGGAGCTTTGATTTATTGTATAGAATACTTGGAAAAGCGGCTTGATTGGTTGTTGGAAAAATTGAGAAAACTGACTGATTATTATTTATTTTTTGATTGTCCTGGACAGGTATATTACTAATTATAATTAACCATAATAATCATTAACTAATAATATTTCACACAATCCAGGTAGAAATATACACTCATCATAACTCAATGAAAAATATTATGTGTGCAATTAAAAATGAATTAGATTTGCGGTTATGTTGTGTACAACTTATTGACTGTCATTATTGCAGTGATCCAGGTATGTTTTACCTTTTCAGTTAAAATATATGTGTATAAATAAATGAGTTGTAGCACTGATAAACAAAAAACTACAACACAAATTATTTTATTTAAAATTGCTCTCCTGTAGCATGTAGTGTTTGTGACCTACAACTTCTGGTCTCTTAGCCATATTATATTCTTCTTTGGTCTGACACCTCCATAGGGCTTATATTGTAATCTGTAAATGAAGAGAATCTTAATAATCATTAATTTTCAGGTAAATACATTTCAGCACTTTTGATGTGTACATCTACTATGTATCAAATGGAATTACCTCATGTGAATATATTATCAAAAATAGATATAGCCGTTAAACATAAGTCAAAGCTATTATTCAATTTAGATTATTATACAGATGTATTGAGTCTTGATCAGCTTTTGGATGCATTGCAAAATGATACCCACACTTCTAGGTACATATATATTTTAACCTATAATTATAATTTTAACAGACAAATTATGGTATCCTAATACCACCGTATTAATTTCTAAAATACTGAAGCACGCAACAACTCAACTATGTTTTGTAAATAATGAAAACATGTGTTTACATTATACCTATATGTTGTGTTAATGTTTATATCCAGATATTTTATGCATTTCCATAATAATTGATTGTCTAATGCATATTTAAAAATCTGATTCGTCACCTAACCCAAAAAAAAACCTGTATCATTAACTTAATTTGTTTATTTATCTCTCCCAGTATGTGGCGTAACTTGGTTTGTTCTTCCTAACTATAAATATGATTTTATCTCCATATCTCCTAGTATAGCATTGGTGTTTTCAGTGCTTTTGTTTGGGAAGGAGGAACTGATAGTGTTTTACACTTTATGAAAAGCTTAATTAGATCCCTCATAAGTTGGTATGATGATCCTGAGGTTATATAACATTTTAAACTTTGTTTCAACCATCACACTAATTAAAATTTTAATATGTGGTTATATTTTATGTAATACACTAATAGAGTCATAGGACACTAACCTTATACATTTTTAAACTTTGCAAACATTTTGAGGAAGGCTGCAGCTTAATCAGCCTCCCTGGCTACCGGCCAGTTACTCTTACTCCAATTAGTATAGTAAATTGTAATGAATATTTTTTTTAAATGCTTGTAATAGAACTTTGTGGCATATTTTTAACCAAAGAATAAACAGTTAAATTAGTAATTACAGTTAATTATTATATTGATGTTTTTATATTTTTAATCCATAAGAAGAGTACAAGGAAAAAAAAAATGTTAGTATAGATTTCGATAAGGTGTATGATAAGAGTTCCAAGAGAACGAGAAAGTTATAGTGGATGTGTATGAATAAGCTACAAAGGAAATGAAGAGTGTATGGTGTTGACATGGAAGCAAAGAGTGAAGAAAAATAATATTCTATAAAATCAATATAATATTTTAACTAATCACTGAAATTATTATAACTTATACTGTAGACTGCATACAAGACTTTTATTTCCCCGCCTCCCCCCTCTCCCCCAACCATACCGAGCAATGACCTTAGTAGTTGAAACTTTAATCCAAGTAAAATATTTAAATAAATATACATGTATACTTTATATTATTATAATAGTCTACTGTAAATTTGTAATAAATATTAATAGATACAATTTTATTTTCTAACTTCACTATGAAATCAAAGACTACTTTTTCTAAAATATTAGAAAAGCATAAATACACATAATTAAATTTTTTGTTTATTTTTATAGGTATCATCGTTTGAATAAAGCTATAGTTAGTTTAATTGAGGGGCAAAATATTGTTTCATTTATACCGCTTAATGTGAAGGATAGACGTACATTGGAATTAGTGAGAAAGAACATTGATAGAGCTAATGGGTACATTTTTAACCCTGAAGAGAATCAGAATGCCGAAATGTTGAACTCAGTCATGCAATTGGATATCAACGATTTAACTCTTGACGTTTTAGAAGATTTACCTAAATCGGATTCATTAGATACAATGATGTAAACTTAAATACTTATTTTTTCAGTGTAATACTATATTATCTAGTATAATATAGTAAATAAAGCCCTGATTCTTATTTTGTTTTAATGATAAATGTTCCATAATTTGATTTTAAGAAAAACAAATAAATAAAATAATTTAATATTGAATGTTTTCATATAGAATTATATTTGTAAAATCACATTCCAAATACCTAGTTGAAAATAATACACAAAAAAAAAATATAAAACTGACACAAAGTAGAAGGCAAATAATTCAAATGATATTAATATAAAAATGTGTATAATAATTAAATACCCTGAATATTTTAATAACTATACACATAATAAAATAGATAAAGATAATAAGATTGACGAAACATAAGCTAAAGAGCTTTTTATAACAAAAACTTGCCAAACAATTGAGTAAAATCAAATCATATAATATGGTGGTGGTTAGAAAAACAGGTTTAGAAGGATAATAAAGTACAAAAAAAAGTGTGTTTAAAGAATTATAAAATATGATAACAACTTGATATACAATCATATAAAGACTTAAGTATAAGTGTTAATTACAAATCAAACTCAAATTTAACACTCAAAAAGTTGTTGACCAAAAAAGGCAAATATCACAATAAAATATTCAACAATAATAATTGATAAAATATATATAAGTTAAATGTACCTATAAAAGGTTCACATAAATTTAACAAGAAATTGTTTGGATAAATCTTCATATACTGATTTAATAGTATCTATATATAATCTCTTTAAACGTTTACAACTATTTAACTATGAGATTATAATGTTTGACTTTGATCACAGTAGTACATTTCTATACATTGATTGTTTAGTTATTATGTATAATGCATTGATAAGGCCTTTTCATAATCATCTTCTCTAGAATTGCTGTCACTAGATAATATAGTTTCAGAATGAGATATTGAGAATCCAAGTAATTCATTAACTGAATCCTGTAATGATGGCTGTGCTTCTTTCAGCTGTTCATAAATACTATAAGCCGTAGTTAAAGCTTTATCCAAATCAATTTGTTCACATAAATTATTAACGTGCTGAAAAATTAATTCAAATAATTTAATTGTGTTCCTGTCTAGATTTGTCTATTAATGTGCTTTAAAAAAAAAAAAAATTAAAAACCCTTCTGGGATTAGTAATTTTTGATATAAGTAGTAATTTATTAATGAATTGAATGGCAATACTAACTTTCAATATTTCAGTTAATCCATAATTTTCATTGATAATTGTATCTTTTTCGTTATCCAATATCGCCACACATATTAGCAAATGGAAATTTGCACAGGGAATATCTGTCCATAATACTTCCCACAATCGCATGATATCAGAATAAATAAATTCTCGTTTGAACAATACCAAAAGCCATCTAAAGCAAAAGTACATATTGCTGGAATCCATCTTTTTCAAATGGTTTTCTAATTTTGGCGATACAGTTGTAAGCAAGTAATGCAAATCGTTCAACTGTTTTTTCATGCCGGTTTGTTTCAATTCAAAGTTAGTATTCTAAAACAAAAAACAAGACTAGTACAATCTAGATTGAAATTTGTATTAGGTATTTATTTATCTTAGACTCACAACTCTGTTCATGAAACCCACAAAACACCAAAAGGATTCTACTTCATCGCTGTTCATTATCATCAATATTGGTGATAACAAGTCACTCATACCTTGGACATAACCGAGATCAAAGTTGTACATAACATAAGTCATCAATACATTATGTAGTTTAACAAGGTTTTCATTTCCTTCTCCAGCATAAAAGTCGAGAGTGCGGTCAGTTCTATATACATCTTTATCTGTAGGCAAAGAAAAATCATGTAATAACTTAAAATTGTAAGATTGTCTAAATATTTACCTATTAGACTCTTTCGATCTCTATACATATTAAACCTTGATATTTGATCAGAAGACATATTCATCCATTGTACTTTCATTCTCTCATATTCAGTTTTTTTTTGTTTATCAATGTATATACGCTGTTCTCGAGTAGAATTCCAAGGATAATATCCAAGTAAGTACTTCCATACTTCGTGTCTTATTGAATGTTCACAACCCTAATTATACAAATAAAATTAATAGGATTCTTTACATATTATATATAATTTATAATACCCACTCCATAAAAAATTATGTTTTTGATGTAATCTTCGTTCGTTATTCGACCCTCATCATTCATAGAGTGGTAAAAAGTGGTTTGATCTAACGGCTGTCCTCTTGACTTTATTGCTGGTCTTGGTGGCAATACAGTTGGTGGAGGGTGATCTACCATAGTATATTCATCATCTTCCTCAGCTCTATTTAAGAGTTCAGCTACTTCTTGGTCTGGTCTTGTGTCTGGTGTGCGAGTCACTACATATTCAATGAACAATTATGATCGAATGTAAGTACATTCAGTATATTATACATAATCCAATATTATAGCATATTTTACTCACAAAGAACATCACTAATTTTAGCAAATGTTTCATAAGTTTTTTCCACAGGATTGTTTTGGAAGCCACTAATGAAGCTCCAGACTGTACTTGTGGGTGGTTGATCAGGAAATATTTTTAACTCTTTAATTGACTGACATAGAGGATCTGAATCTTGTCGTTCACCCAATACCAATATCACTCCAGTAGGTCTGTGGTGTCGTATTTCTCTAACATAAGATAATTAGATAAATAATAATTATAATTTATTTGTTTTATTTGTATTAAATTACTTTTCTGTATGAAGTAAGGTCTTTAAAGCTGTCACAAAATCACTAATAGGTGAGCTTTCAAATAAAAATGTAACAAGTGAACCATTAGTTTGGAGTATTGATATTTGATGTTTTTTGTGTTTTTTCATTTTATAACTCTTCATTGTGGCCAAGTTAATTTTTATATCAATATTACTGCGATCATCTAAAACATAAAAATATATAAATTAGTTTACTATTCAAATGTTAAAAGATTAATTATTATGTTTGAACTTCTCTTCTTCAATTTAATCTTGATTAACATATCATATTACATATTGTAACAATTTTTTACAAACTTTGAAGAAATGGAAATTTACTCTTTACAGTTGGTCAGCTTACATATTACTAAAGAAGAGAAGATTAAAGTTCAATATTCTAAGTTTACTTACTTTTATTTTTCCCATTTTGTTTGAATCCAGTATCAACTATATTCCATTCATCTACATCAGGGAATATTGACATTTCAGTTGGCTTCCATTCAATATACTTTGCAGTTCTCTACAAAATATTTATTTAAAATGAATCAACTAATTAATAAAAAAAATATTTCAGTTATAAAATCTTACATATTTCATTATTCTCAGTAATCCTGTGTAATGAGTCTCTGCATTTTTATGACTCTTCGATCCTTTATGCAATTTACTTAAACTTTTTATCGCTACACCTTGTTGGACAAAATATTCCTAAAAAAAAGTTACTAATAACATATATTAAAGAACAAATATTGGTAATTTACTGTTCCGACTTCTTCATCTGAAGCAGTAGATTCAGCGCTTCCATAAGTGGAATTCATTTTTGTGGTAGTTGTTTTCTCATATAAGACTACAGTACCAGCTCCAGCTAAAAATAAAAATATTGAATAATTTGAATTCATCTAACCATTATAGTTTTTTTTAATATTTGAGTTACTTTTATAGCCAATTAATTTAATCACTAACAAGCATCACATAATAAATAAAAGTATTAATATTATTTAATAATTATCATATATTATCGCAGCTGTATTACATGCTAGAATTATATTTATTTAATTATTTGCCTATTGTAAGGTGGAAAACCCAATGAACTTTAGTCTTTACCTGCACCGTCATTTTGATTTGTATTTGTTTCAACAACGCTTGTATTAGATGCCATACCTTCCATTTTTCTCATTAAGAACAATATTCCTTTTAATAAATTAGACCTGTCATTTTGATCTCGTTTTTCAATAGCCGGTAACTTATCAACACGGTTCATCAAATGACATAACTTTGCATCTGCCGCTCTATACTGTTCACTGTACCTGTCCCCTTGAATGTTGTCAATCATTGCATTGATGACTTGCAATTTTTTAATGCATGTCTTTACTTCATTCTTTACGTCAACTCCCAATACTTTGGTATCGGTATTCATTAAAGAGTTGCCCTCGACTTCAATTCTCAACAGACCACGCAGAACACTCCTCATTTCGTTTACATCGTTCATGGCGGCTATCCCTCTAACCCTCAACTCGTACGACAATTCCTCTTCGTCCAATTTGGTGACATCCATTTTTTTTTATTTGTCTCCCGCAAATGACGTATAAAATATATACTTTACTATTATAATTTATAAGAGACAAAAACACTACGTACAAAGATATGTTATAGGTACCTCCTATACTACTGTGGCCGCGATGACTTTTCATCACGTAGGTACAACAACAACAAATACCAACGGCCTTGTAACGATATTGAGGTCACACAAACCCGTTCTCGTAATGTATTCCTCTCTCACAATTTATATTTTTTTCGACAGCAATGAGCAATCTGCTCAATGTACACACAAACACTACCCACCCTCCCGCCATAGTGGATATTATCGTTGGACGTAAATCCCATATTCCTATGACAAACGCGCCGCACATACGATACAATAAGGTACCTGTACTCTGATTCGGTCTGTTTTCGTGCAAAATCGTCCGGACTATGCACACGAAAGTATGAAACTGCGAATTTTCAGTCGCAGTGTTAGGGTTTCAGACGGACATCAACCACGTCATTAGGTACCGTTTCGTTCCCACTGTTCCCAGTGAAAAATGTTAGGAAAAAACGGCTGTGTGCCTGCACGAACTATGAAAGTAAGAAGGCGAATGCAAAAGCATAATCGTAGTAATGCAATATCAGTGTATCACACTTCGCAGCCAACGAATAATAATTTATTATTGTTGACTGTTGCCCGTCGTTATTTTTATCAATCTAAAATAGAACCGCGGTTATATTTGAGATCGTGATAATGGAAACAATAATATTATGTTCCGTCTCCCGTGGTACCTATTGTTCTGTGGTGGTCGACACTACGACGCAATAATATTACTCATCCTTATTGAATTCGTGTCCGTTGCAATTGGCCAAAAAGGGGGTGGCAGGGGCAGGGGTGGATTGAGTCACTGTGCTACTGTTGCAATTGCACGGTGAGGCAGTGTCATACATTAATAATAAATAAATTATGTGCCCCTGTGGTGAGTAACCAAATGTAAAAAATTAAGTTTTTTTTTTTTTTTATTAAGAAAAAGACAATCTATACACATAGTCTGTACATTAAGTCATTAAGATAACAATTAGAAATGGACATAACATGATTCACATGATAGGGGAAGTCACCCATTGGTAATACCCCTCACACAATATTTAGGTTTTATTATATTATATTATTTATCTAGGTGTAGCAAGGATAATTGTATAGTTGATGTTGCTATTGTTGTTGTTGTTGTTGTTTTTTTTTTTTTTTCCTTTTTTTTCAGAGTAGTAGGTCACGATTCCAGTTTCTTTTCAGTCTACTTGGATGTTGATCAGGGATAAGATTTGAGGACATTTTTTGAATTAGGTGATTAATGTTCGATGGCAGTTTTATGTGAAAGGATTTATAGTTTTGAAAGTTTACTTACTGTTTCGATTTGTAAGTCGTTATGAATATTTTCATTCGATACATACCAGGGGGCACCAGTGATGATTCGAAGGGTTATATTTTGAAATGACTGGATAGGGCGGATGTTTGAAGGTTTGGCTGGTCCCCAAATTTGGATACCATAGGACCGTAGTGGTCTGATAACGGTTTTGTATAATAGTATTTTAAGTTTTAGTTTTAGTTTGGATTTTAGGAGAGGCCGAAAAAGGTGGAGTCTTCTATTCGCTATTTTTATTTTATTTTTTAGATGAGGGCCCCAAGTTAGGCGTTTGTCAAGTATTATGCCGAGATATTTGGTTTTATTACTGACAGGAATTTTCACGTTATTTAATTTAATTAAGGGACAGTTGCCATGGCGAAGGGTAAAAGTAACTTGAGTTGACTTGCTTTCATTTATTTTAATCAACCAGTTTTTACACGAGGTTTCAATTAGGCTAGTATGATGTTGCAGATTGTGTGCCGCTATAGAAATATCATCGCTTGTGGACAATAGGGCTGTGTCGTCAGCAAAGGTGGCTAATAGTGTGTTGGGTGTTTGTGGAATATCGGCAGTGTAAATATTATAAAGATCAGGCGCTAAATCGCTACCTTGGGGCACTCCTGCAGTGATGTTGAATCGAGGCGAAAATGAGTTTCCTTGTCTAACAGTGAAACTTCTATTTTCTAGAAAAGATTTGATGACTAGGAATAATTGAGCTGGCATGAATTTTTTCAATTTAAATAGTAGCCCGTCGTGCCAGACCTTATCAAAGGTCTGATTAACATCCAGGAAGAGTCCAGCACAGTATTGCCTTCTTTCTAAGGCAGAGGCAATTGAGTCAGTGAGCCGATGGACTTGGTGTATAGTGGAATGTCCTGGTCGAAAACCAAACTGGGTGGTAGGTATGATTTGATGCTCGTATAGGATGGGTCGAATTCGGAGAAGAATCAATTTTTCAAACAATTTGCCAAGCGTTGGTAAGAGACTGATGGGTCTATATGATGAAGCTAAGTTCTGATGAAAAATTAAGTTCTGAAAATAAAAGTTGTAACAGTATGGAGCCGATTTCATCAAATGGCTAAGCCACCCCCACTCCAGTTTTAATATTGAAAACACAAAAAAATATTGAAACCGGTTATTTCAGAGAAGAAATAATAAATAATAATATATTAAAAAGGTAATAGGTATAGGTGCATATGGCTCCCCTAGAATCCCCAAAAAAGGATAACAAAAGACATTGAAATTTTTGTTAGTCTCACATAAACTCATATAAGGCAAATGCTTGACTGATTTGGCTGATTTTGTTGTTGTTGTATTCGTAATAACTGTCATGACATGTATGTATATCATGCATGTAGGTATATATAAAAGCAAATGAATGTCCGATCGTGATAAAACTTTAGGATGTTGTTGAGCACACTCCCGCTGAGTACAAACAACCATTGATTAATGATTATAGGTATAAAACTAGTATTTATAACCAGAAATCAATGATAAAACGTAGGACTGTAAGAGGATAAATTTTATAGGAAAAACAAATATATTTTATTAATTTTAATAATATTTTTGCTTGATTTTTAATCATTCAAATCATTTAAAATTTTAATCACACACCATTACGTTTCACTCGAATACCTATTAATTAAATTTCAATAATATTTTAGCTTGATATATAATCATCTGAAATTTAGATTCTAAATTATTTCAATTTTTAATCACACAAAAAAAAAATACACTTTTTATTATACCTGTGGAATTCACGGATAGTCTATCAATATGAGAGAGAAAACGGATTGATAAAATACAGCATCTCAGGATATTATAAAAAGGTAGCCCACACGCATTATGCTAAATAATTTCAAAAATTCGCCCAAAGCTAGCTAGATGTTTAAAAACCGGTTTTTAACACCGGCAAATACCCATTAAAGCCGATATCAAAATCGATACCAATACCAAAAAAATGTAAAACTAGTTTTAAAAATTAAAACTGATTACTCAATGACGAAGTTCTTGGTCCACAAATGTGTTAAATTTGAAATCAATACATAGGTACCTACGAAAATCAGATAACAATAATTCTGAGAGGAAACGGTTTATTAGCAATAATTAGCCTACACTACTATATTAGTGTACAGTATATATACTATAGCCTATAGGTATGCATTACTATTTACTATTTAGTATTTACTAAGAAACTAGGTTTATAATATTATCATATAAGTTTTAAAGAATTGCTATTATTATTATGATTAATTTTACCATAAGTGTAATATGGACATACGGACATACGGTTTATGTATAAATATGTATAAATATTAATACCAATACACAAAAGCTTAAAGTGAATTTAAATATTTTGAAAATGACATTACATATTATGTAACACGCATTAAAAATAAGCTTCATAGAGAATATAAATTTTAAAAGAAAATTGTTTATAAATATAATTTATATATTATAATCGATAAGCATTAATAATAGAATAATAGATATTAGCTATAATAATGGCTTTATATTCTTAGACCATATAGGATACAGACGATACAGTGTACAGTACTACAGCTAGTGTACACGGGCACATGGCTACATCATAGGAACTAAGAACTCAATTATATTAGGGACTAGTGAGGGTTTTAAATTAAAATTTTTGTACTTAAAAAACGTAATTTTTGTTGATCAAACTTTTCCTTAGAAAACTCAATGCTGATGAGGAATGAAAAATTTTCCTTTATAAAATAAATGTCCTCAAAAGCAAAACAGCAAAACGATTTACACCGGCAACCGCTGTCGTATTGAACTTATCAACAGGTCACCGATTTCTTTAATCGCTAGATGGCGCGCCGTATAAGCTTTTAGTAGCTAAATTTTTAAATGGTATTTTTTATTTCATATTTTCCTTGCAGAATGTTAACGATATAATATGGGCACAGAATTCATTAGTACCTACGGGTTGATATTGATTTCATTTTAAAAGCACGAAATAGCTTATCATTTTGTAAGATGTAACCATAGACCTTATACTAGTTTTACTAATACAAAATTTTAGTTTTAGGTATTATTCGAAGATTATAACATATTTTGTAACTGTTATATTATTGCATATGCCATATTATGAAATTGAGTATTTGGGTTACCTATTTAATTTAATTTATGACTATTAATAGGTGGTAGACGGTAGTTAATAGTTATCCGAGGAGTTTGTTCGGTTTTTATATTTTTCTAAAGAAGTATTTAGAAAAAGACAGGTAAACAGTAAAATTTAGATTCTTGTAAATGAAAATTTTAAGTTCAGATGTAGGAATGTCTTTCAACTTTCATCAAGATTGGATATTGGAGTAACTTAGTATATTATTTTGTTGGAATTCTCGACTCAAGAATTTTAAGTAGAACTAGAGGTTAGAGGTGGAAGGATTTTCGTTGGTTATTTCATCCTAATAAAATGCAATTGTTAATAAATAAACGCATCATTGTGCCCGAAGTAAGGGTCCTTGATCAATTATAACAGTTAAGACTTTAAGAGTATGCTACCCAGTACCCATGCATATGTTTTCTCGTTTTACAAATGTACGACATGGCATATTTTGGTTCACTAGTTTCAATAGTGTGCTGTTAGTTAAGATATTGACATTGTTTTGTATTATTCTATGATATTAGAGTGAATAATTGACCTATTATCAAATATTTAGATTATACAATCTGTGCTTAAGCGTCAGTAATTTTTTCGATATTTTAATTTTAAAGCAAGATATGGGTATTTTCTAACTTAAATGTTTGATAATAGGTCAATTCACTCTAATATCAAACTAGTGAACTAAAATTGTCTATGTCGTACGTGTTAAAACGAAAACAACAAATACATTAGGTAGTGTCCTCTTAACTTATTGTTAATATTGAGCTTATGCTCTTGAAAATTGAGAACTATGCATGCACTTATGC